CTGAACAACAGTGGGGGACTCCTTTGGCTGTTCGTCGACATCGAGGACGACTAAAGCGGTACACATGATGCAGCTTTGTCTGGGAGGTAGACATAGAGGAAGTAGACTGCCCAAGAACGACTTTACTCTCTTCTGATCTTGACTTCCTTGATATTCTCCAAAGAAGAGACATAGTATAGTCAATATATTTAGAGTCAAAGAAAGTGCAAGTTGTGTCTTACCGTTTTACATGTTTGATATGAATAGTATTATTGTCGTGAATTTTTTAAATTTGAATTTGCGTGATTTTTTAAATTTTGAATTTGCCCTGGAGGTGAACAAACGATTTACTCTTTTTCAATCACCAAGAGATCTTTAACGAGCACAAGGTGGATTTACAGTATCCATGCACACGAGACCTCCGAGATTTTTTGTCCTTGCCCAAGAAGACTAAGCGCTCGATCGAAATCTCTTAATGCAGACTATAGGTGCTAAATCAATAGCTCTAAGTCGAACTATTGAAGATGTCTGATAGAGCCCCGAGGCCGTACAAAAGAAAGCAACAAGAATAAACACCCACAACACACAAGAAAGGCGACGAATCCGTCAACCATCTTCAAATGCACACGAGAGAAGAGTAAATAATGTGAAGAGTACACGGACACTTTTAGTTTTGAACACATCAATAACCAAATACCAGCACATGGTGTCAGCGTGAGTAGTCTCGATCATTGTGAGTAATTACTGCAATAGCTATTAATTATATTTTCTACCCCCCTCTCTCTGTATCCCTCTCCTCCTCTCTCTCTCTCTCTCTCTCTCTCTCTCTCTCTCTCTCTATCTCTCTGTCTCTCTGTCTGTCTGCTTCCCTCCCCCTTCTCTCCCTTTCTCTCTCTTTCTCTCTCTCTCTCTCTGTCTCTCTCTGTCTCCCTCCCCCCCCTCTCTCTCTCTCTCTCTCTCCCCCCCCTCTCTCTCTCTCTCTCTCTCTCTCTCTCTCTCTCTCACCCTCATGTATTAGTCGTGTGCCAACTATGTATGCTCATTAGCCTACCGATGATTCGCTCTGCAGAAATTGCCTCATTATCCTCAACACTGGCTTTGGCTCCATTTTGCATCGAATATCCGAATTCCTCGGTTGTCGGTGCACACAGATAGATAGATAGACGAAAGGAAAGAACATATTATTTTACTAGCGCCTATTTCGCACTTTGCCGTCGTAGGACAGAAACACGTATATGCCAAAAATGAATTTTTTACATGGAGAGGCAAAAAACTAACTTTTTGCGTGTGCTTCAAATTAACTAGAATTAGGTTGATTTGACTATTTTATGTCAATATACTTTGGCCGGTCTGATTTTGCTGAGGCATATTGTAAATGGTTATGGAGTAATTGATTAAAATTTCTTTGGTTAAACCAATATCGAGGTTCAATTAGGTCACAAAGCATATTTTCAAATGCCCCTGATCTTCTTTAATTTTAATTGTATTTAATTGTACATCCATAAAACCAAACTAGAAAGGGGCGCTATGAAAAAGGATTTCTCCCTTGTATAAACTCGCCCCTTGGCCAAATTACGCATACATGTGAGGCAGCGTGGTGGAATCAGGCTCTCGTCAATTTTTGGGCATGTAGAGTTATTGGTATCATCTTAAAGCTTGTTCATTTGTCATGATTATAAGGAAAAAAGTACCCATCTATCTTCAATAGAAGTGGAGATATTTTGGATTGAAGGAGGTGGGGGTCACCTGGTTTAAGAGGAAAAATTTGGGGGAAAATGGCCGGCAAAGCTTGGTAAATTCCAAAGCTGGAGAGTCCATGGAAACTGTAAATTTATATTTTTGTTCTTTTAATCAACGTTTTCGGTGAAATCGTCATAGGAATGTGATTGTAAAAGAATATAAAAGGTGTTGAGCCCCAAAAATAAAAATTTGATTAAAAAATTGCTAAGCAGGGAGAACACTGCTGTTTTCTTTGATTTCATTATTTTGACGAGAGCCTGATTCCACCACGCTGCCTCACATATTATATGCACTGTCTGGGCTCTTGGCCGTTGCATTCAAAAGATTTTGGTTCGTCTCCTATACGGGAAAGTTTACTGATAGAGTGTAATGGACTTCATCCAGTCTACTGTATCTCAGTCCCGGTGTTAACGTGTTGGACAGGTTGACATTTTTGGTACAATACAGAAACTGTTCAAGAGGACCGCTTTTCTCTACGGTGGTGGGTGATCCTCCAGGGCAGGTGCGACTGTGTACATATAATGTGTGTGTGTGTGTGTATGTGTGTGTGTGTGTGTGTGTGTGTGTGTGCATGTGTGTGTTTGTGTGCATGTGTGTGTTTGTGTGTGTGTGTG